TCTTTCTCGACGTGAAAGTTTGTGTAGGTCAAGGAGCATCCACCATAGCAACCTTCCTGCGAGCCAGGTCTTGACACCACGCTCCACTTCTGATTGGTACATTCTCTTCCAACCTGATTTGGCTTGGTTTCTTCAGGAGATATGTTCAGTACATTGACTGAACTGTGTTCAGATACACAGGAACGTGGCTGGCAAAAGTCTGAAGTCGAAGGTGAAGCCGGAAGAGATTTAGTAAGTTTAGATGTGCAAACTGGAGACCCACTGGACACACCGTGAGGCTTCTTCTGTCGTTGCCTCGAGTGTGCTATAAGATTGTCCCGATCAGAACTTCCTGAGAAGGCACTGAAAAGTTTCACATTTTCTGAGTTCTGGTGGTCAAAGGTAGTCATATTTAAAAACTGTTGCTTTAACCAACTGGCTCTTTCTTCCTCAAATGCCTTTCTCTCCAATCCTAGGCGAATAGCAGCCTCTGTAAAGCTTCGTCTTTCTCTCTCAAAATTCTTTTTTTGCTCTTTAAAAAGGGACCACTCTTCTTTGAGGCGTTCCTTTTCTTCCAAGAAATAACAGTCTCGTAATAGTGAAGTGGTATCATCATCACATGCAGTAGCAAGCTGCTGCTGTAAAAGTTGCTGCTGAGTTTTAATCATTTCTTTACATTGCTGAATTTCTAACTCAAGTTTTTCGGTTTCTTGTTCATGGTCTTGTCGTGAGATTACATCTTCATCATTAAAACCTTCTAAGTGTACCTCTGAAACTTGGTTGTCAAGCTTTTCTACGTGACTTTTCAAAATCCTCCACTGTGTTCTGATGCTGTTTGTGAGCTGCTCTCTCACAGTTTCACAGGAAAGGTCCCACATATTCTCTCTGCTCAGTTCCCCAGCATCTTCTTCAACATCAGAGATGGCAGTTCCTGTACTATCATCTGCTCTTTCTCTGGGTTTCTTCTTTTGGGGAGAAAGAAGAGAAATCATTTCCTTTTTCATTTGCTGAAGAACCTTCTTAAGTTCAGCATTTTCCATTAGGATTTGTTTCTGACAATATTCATAATCATTCAAGAGAATTTTGTACATTTCATCTTCATTCCTGGCTTCCATTTTACCAGTCCTCCAGGAGCCTCTCTTGCCATCAGCTCTCCCCACATAATTCAAAACTTCCATGGCTATTTTTTTATCTTTCTTGTTCATAACAAGCTGATGCAGACGCTCCTTCAGTTTATTATATTCACGCTCTTTTCTCTTCATATCATGATTATACTGAGTAGCCCGACTGGCAATTATGTTTTGCAATTTTTGTACCTCGTCTTTCTCGTTTTTCAATAGCTGATGCAAACACCTGTTCTTGCATTGTAATTGTCTGTCTCTTTCCTGAAGCCCGATCATTTCCCTTCTGGAGGTTTCCAGTTGTTCCTTTAGTTTTGTGTAGCAGTTCTGTAGATGGTCCATGTCACTTCCCAGTTTCAAATTCTGTGTTTCCACATTTTCCTGAGCTAGAAGGTTCTTCCGCTGAAGTACAAGTAGCTCATACATACAATTTAAAACAGCTACTATGTTTAATTCTCTCTTTGTCTCTTTACCTTTGGCTTCTTCATATAATGAAGGAAAACCAAAAGTTGTCAATTCCTGATCAAGATATGAAATACTCTGTTCAATATTCTCTTCTGTGCAGAAGGCACTGAAAAAACTGTGCACATTTTTTGATAAAGGTATTGAAGAACATAGCACTTGCTGTGAGTATAAGCTTGATGGAGACATCTTTGTTTCTGAGGTATATTGAGAGATAATTTTGCTTTCTGAAGACAGGCCTGGATCTGTAACAGTCA